TATCTTCTGAAAATTACAAATAACGAAGGAGTTTACGTTCTTTTAATTTTGGCATAATTAAATCGAAAACAGACAAAAAGTTAGGCACCACTCTCTGTGCTCATATGTGAAACAGCTGCAAATGCAGCTGATAATAGATAACGAATCAAAAAGATAATTTAACTATCAATCAAAACTGTTCTTTAGAAATACGTCGATACGATTTGGTAGAGATCCTATAGAAATGAATTTTATTATGGCTACTTTTAAAATCGATCCTACTTTGATCAGCTGATTGATGGAAACGAAAACTTTCGATTTACCACGATTGAGAGATGCGTCTAAATCTAACATAGAATACACACTTTGACCGAAAATAACACTTGACATTGATCCTAGAATCGATTACTCGTTTTTTATCGAATATGGTTTTTTTCTCAGAATATTGACATTTCTCTCTTCGCACTGTATTTCGTATTCGAGAGAATCTCAAATACTACTGATATGAGGACTTCTTAGTCAAAAGAGAACGACTCTTCAACTTCGAATATTTTATTTGATAAATTAAATATAATTTCACTGAAAAATATAATGGATTCCATGAATTATATCTATTCAATTTAAACCTATATATTGGAGATCTCGAATAACTTATTAAGATAAGAATTATTGAAAATTCTTTATGCTTTATTATGTACGGAATTGTTCTTACAGAGATGAAAAGGAATCAAAATTTCAACAATTTTTCAATTATTTTTAAAAAGCATTTTTGATCGTTGTGGAGAATGGGTGTATGTCTTGCCCTAAAATGAAGAAACTGTTCCAGAACATTTGCTTTACACAAGCTTTGATTAAACATCTGATTATTTATGCTAGAATTCGTCTGTTCTTATCTAAGATGTTTTTTGTTTTTCTGATTTTAAAGTAATATCAATGTTTTCCTAATTAGTTGAACAATCGAATCATGCATAAAAAAAGGTTTTAAACAGTAGAAAGAGATAAAAAAAAAGTGCCCATTGTTTAGAGTAGGAAGATGTTCACATTAAGAGTGCAAATACTATTTTGTTCTCGTCAATTAATAACCATTGAATATTCTCTCTCTGAATTATACATATCCAAAGAGTCTTTCTTCAAATGAAAGAATGAAAAACCAAGCAAATATTAATCGTTCAATACCATTTGTTGTCACACAACAATTAATGACATATATTAATAATGAACAAACGATAAATATAAAACCATTGGGTATAACATTTATACGAATATAAAGTTCGATTGTAACTTAGCAATATTAATTTGATCTATTGATTGTTTGCTTTTCTTTTATTCTTTAGATGAAATGATTTGTGTAAAAACTTAGCTAATTACACACACAAACGGGTGAACTAATCAAGTTCTAACTTTTAATAATAATAGCAATAACTGGATAGAAAATGAATAAAGAACAAATAGGAACAAGTCAAATAAATACTAGTACATTAGGAAAGAGAAAAAAAAGAAACTCTATTCGAAATACCAAAATAATTAAGACAAAAATCCTTCTCTAATCATCGATTACTTATACTAGATTCACTGAAGATGTTGCACATCATTTTCACGTATATGCAAAGAATTGTATTAGAATGTTACCAACATTAATATTAATTGATTCAATTATTGCTAAAAGTTCATATACATGTCCGGATATACCAGAAGGATGATCATTATTAAGAGAAATTGTTTCATTGAATTCAATTGAATATTTATGGCCACCACCATCAAGTGATGATAGTGTAACATCAACAGGTTATTTTACTCTAAGACGTCATATGTCAAGACCAATGTGAATTGAAGTAAATAATTCATTAAAAAAAGTTTTGTTAAAAGGTTCTTATTTAAAATAAATATGTTCTAAAAACTTTGAACATCAGTCCTTAAAATTAGAATAACTAGTTAAGAACGTTACAATAGAAAATGGCGGATAACAATGGTGATAATCCATCAATAGAATATTTCTTAGAAAGAATCTGATGAAAGAAAAAAGTAAAATAATAAATATATACGACGACCAATTTTACGAGCAATAATAACAAGCTTTTTCGAATAACCAAAAATTTTTTCATTTTTTCAAATTATAAATAAAATAAAATGATGTATCTTTGTTTCTTTGGAACTACCATCTATAGTTAATAAACTATTACAAATAGCAAATATAAATTCAACATTAATATCTTTGTCATAAAAACTATTATTGTCAAGAGATTCAAGTGATATTGCACTTTATACTATCGAATTTTGAGATGTTCTCAAATGTAATCGGGGTCTAGTTAAAAAAAGGTTCATAAAATTAATATAATTATCTGATAAAATAATTAACTTACAGTTCAATTTTATTCTTTTCTTGTTTGTGCATTAAACATATCAAAGCATAAACAGTACGTATACAATTAATAGCTATATATGAAATAGATACCAAAGATAGTTGGAAGAGATTTGTTTTGTGTTAAAGGTTTTAACAAAAATATGGGATGCCAAAATCAGAAAAGTTAAAGAACCATTCAATAGCTACAGCATTATAACAAGATAAAACTGATGTTTTAGTAGTTTATGGATTTGAAGTATGGAATTCCGAACAATACTCATGAAATGAACTAGAACAGAATTGATGCATCAAAACAAATATATGCACGAAAGATTTTACAATAAAGTTCGTTTAGTAATTAGTTGAGAAGTAGAGCTTCATCAAAAAACACAACCTTATTCATTCATTTTAAAGAACAATATATTCTAAATTATTTTATGAAAAAACAACAAGTTGGATTTTTTTTTTGAAAAATGAGAAAATCTTGACAAATTCATTACAAGCATGTATATGTCTTTTGACGTGATTTAACATTAGATATACAATATATAGACTGGTTTTTACAAATTAAATTAAGTCTTTGGGTGGAGCGTGTTCACAGAAATATTAATCATGTTATATGGTTGAATATTAAACGCATTGTATTGAATATAACAGATTAATATATGTTTCTTTTTTTCGTATCTTTTGGTTGAATATGAACGAATTGTTTGAATGTTGTAGAAAAATTTTTATTCATTGTAAAATGTTTTAAATTGATGATGACATTGAATCATATTATGTTTTAGTTAAAATAAATGTATACTAAATATATGACGTAAGTCAATACTTTCTGAATAACTTTCAATAGGAACGAAACAGAGATGCGCGGTGTTTACCATTCAAAAAAAGATTTTCAGTGACTCATAAAATAACAAATATTGATAGAATTTACATCGTTTGAATGAAATTTTTTCCTGAGAAAAGCGATGTCGTGAAATGAAAAAAAAAGCCACTTTTGATGATGAACTATACGTATTCTTTGACATTTTTCGAAATTCATTGATGAAAATCGGGATTTCAATTCATGAAAATGATGGAAAATTAATCATTAACAATGTACGAAAATAACATACTGAGTAGAATGAGAAACAAAAACCTTGAATTCATTTTCTTTGATATAACTACTTCGTTAAGTGGATAGTAGTACCTACCTGAATTTACATAGTTTTACCAAACTTTTCAAAAAGTCTGGGCTAGTTGCTCTCCAAGAACATCAACTATGAAGTTTTCTAAAGTCCATTTACTCTACAGTCAAGTTAAGTGACACATACATGGAAAATTATAAATACTTAAGAATTTTAGAAAAAGCAGAGCAGAACATGTTTTCTGTCTTTACAAATTCATCATTTTGATGGTTAATCTTTTAAGAGCAATCATGACAGCCGATGAATTTCGTACACAAGACATCGATTAAAACAATTTTTCTTTAAAAAATGGATTCAAATTATTTATCGTTTGTAAGATGATTGAAATTGAATATTTCAAATGTAAAAGTAATTCAAGTAAAGGAATAATTTTTCTTTCGCGAAACACTCCAAATCATGGAACTCAAATCGTGCAAAACTCATGAGAGTAATGAAAAGATTTTAGGTTTTCCAAAAAACACCATTATGTAGTGTAAATGAGATAAAAACTTTACACCTAAGAAATTTAATTTGATTTCTTGCGAGTAACGTGGTACGAATGTTATCAAAATAAAATGCGACACTTTCCTTTTTTGCAAACTAATAAAAATCATGCAATGCAATTGACTCACAAATAATCAAACTAATCCGATGATTTTAGTTTTCCAGAAAAATGAAAATCAGGCAATGAAAATGATGTCAAAGTAATGCAAATAATAGAGCATTTTTAATGTTTTCTGAAATAACCGATTTCATGAAATGAAAAGGATGCAAAAGTTATCAAATCAATTGAATGATTTCTATGCTTGTGAAATAGCTGAAAGCATGAAACTTCCTGTGTGCAGATTCAAACAATAACCAGTGAAATGAATTGTTATGGATTTTTTTAAGTAACTGGGTTATGGCTGTGAGTGTGATGCAAAGAGTATAAATACATATTCATTTATACTTACACTCACAACTTTTTACAGAAAATTATAAAAGAAATGAAAAATAAACATGAATATCAATAACAACAGGGTGTGGATGTGTAGATGTGGGGTGTGGATCTCTTTTTCAATCACATCTACACCGCAACCATACTCACCCACACCCACCAACACCCTTAGTATGGAAGGATTGATCTTTCATTCAAATACGTTAATAGTGCAGAACCGTGAAAAAGTTCACTGAAGAAAAAAAAATATCTTGAAGATAAAGTTTTGACGAAAAATTTCTGATCTCTTTTTCTATCAAAGTCATTAGACGAACAGTACTTCTTCTCGAAAGCCTTCATACGCTGTAGGAAGCTGATGTTGTTGAATCGCGAATACTCATCAATATTCACTGGTATACTTTCACTCTATTCTTTTTAGCTGTGACTCATTGTTGTCGATGGATAACCTTTTGCTTATAAGAGACACGTTGGTTTTTATATTGACACAATATTAAAAGACGAAAAGAAAAATATTCGAAAGTCACAATTGAGATTTTGCTATATCATCAACAATATTTTTGACGTAGGATTCGTTATTATGTTTCTTCTTTGGTTATTTATTTTATTTCCTTCATCAATAGCTCTTAAATCATTGATGGTTACTATTGGTGCAGGTGGTCATGTTATTCCACTGTTTGAATTAGCAAAAGCGATGAAACATCATCACGTGACATTTATTACTGAACCCTATGCAAAGTATTTTATTGACTTTGACTCCTATCAGCATTCGTCTTCGTTTCGTATTCTCTATACTAATGATTCAGCTGATGCACCCGTCGATCAAATCAAAATAGAAAATGATCTCGAGGAATATTTTGCTAATCATTCATTGGTGGAAAGTCTCTCTCAATTGATACCGTCATTGGCTCGAAGTATTGATGCACTATTGAGAAAAACAGTTCATATATTAATGATTGAACAATTTGATGTAATTATTGTTGATTCGTTTATTAAGGGTATTCATACTCTTAGTGACGAAACAAATACACCATGTGTGATCCAAACTGCAGGGGTCAAATTGGATGAGTTTCATATCAATTTACCTCACATGAATTCATTTCTATCATCAAAACAAATTACTCTACTTAAATATCGTATCTATAATGCTGCATTTCATTTACGTTTAATTGCCTCAATTGCAATGAAACTGTTACCATTGCTTCCGACATTTTTCCGATCGCCTCCACAAGTACCCGGTCGATTTTACGAAACATTGACGTTAAAAAATCAAATTTTCACAACAACGAAATGTTTACAGTTGTACAGTTTTCCAGAAACACTTTTTTTATCATCCGATTCAGATCCTTACAAGAAATATCTTGGAGCTTTTATTGACGAAACATCCAATCACTATGTTAACAATGATCTAGTTAGATGGATTCAATCCAAACCGAAAGATTCGATTATTTATGTATCTGTTGGTAGTATTGCACGAATTCAAATCGATCGAATGAAAAGTTTAATTGAAGGTCTAATGGAGTTTCTTCTAAAAACTCCCACTGCTTCAATTCTATTCGCATTTCGTCAGTACAATTATGATAACTTTCAAAAGGTGAAGAAAGAGATAGGGATCAACGAATATCAAAATATTCTATCGGATGAACAACGTTGTAGAGTTGAAAATCACTTCGTTCCACAAAAATGGTTATTACAACAAAATTCAGTCAGTCTATTCATAAGTCATTGTGGCATGGGATCCATTGGTGAAAGTCTTTACTTTCGAAAACCGATACTATGCTTGCCACTGTGCAAAGATCAATTTGTAAATGCTATGGCCATTGATTATTCAGGTGTTGGACAATCTCTATTTGTTCCCCCATCCGCATGGCAATCACTGATCCAACCCGATCGTTTTCATTATTATACATTTTCAGCAAACGATGTCACAAAGAAATTACTCATCATGTGGAAAAACACTACATATGAGAAAGCAGTTCAAATGATGTCCCTTGAAATGAAGCATGCTGGTGGTGTAAAGAGAGCTGTAGAAGAAATTGAATTTTTTGTCAATGTTAACGGCAATTTAGATCGTTATGTACCATTTCAGAACAGTTTACCATTTTATCAATGATATATGATTGATTTGATACTGATTTATATTATTCTACCGATCATAGTCATCCTCTATCTCTTTCGAAAATGTTATAGACGCAATAGAAAGAATAAAATAGACTGATTAAACTATTATTCAAACAATATGTTAGTAAATTTTTGTACATGCTTCATATTTGTTCTAAGCTTGAGAGTGTGAGTGTGGGATCAGAGAAAACTAACACCCTTATAAGAAATCAAAAGCTTGTTAGCGCAGCTCCTTTGGAGCTGAAATGTGGAACTCGCGTATATCCTTGAAATTTGAGGGTGTGGGTGTGGGTCTGGATGTGTGGTGTGGGCGTGGGTGTCGGTATGGATGTGTGGGTGGGTGTGGGTGCGGACGGGGGTCTGGAAGAGAGGAAAGAGTTGGCTTACACCCCACACCCACACCCACTCCACATCCCACCCTCCACCCCCACCCTATAATAAAATACGGAGCAGAGTACAAAATAATTAAATGCGATTTCAATACTAGTGAAACATAATGGTAACAAAACAGAAATATTCATCGAGTTATCCGGAGTTTATCTCAATTTTTCTCTAAAGTTTTATCTATTTGAAAACCGATGAAATATGATGCAAATGTGTACGATAACAACAATGTTCTCGAATTCGGATGCCATCATATGTGTACCAGTCTTTTTAGGCTGATTCATATAATTTTTAAAAGTTCATTTGAAATGATTTGACTGAGATATGGAGAGAGAACATATTTCAGTATTTTGACTCAGGCACCGTCATTTATTTGTCAAATTTAATTTTTTTTTACAAAAATGATCAGCGCAGATAGCTCTACAAAGTCTGGTAAACAAAAACGTTTTGTAAGAACATTTAGTTTTTGTGGGTGACTATCTATTGAAGTACCCAATTATACTCTTCAATTTTTCAAACCTTTCGTTATTCTATAGCTCATATCACTCTAGAAACCATCAGTTATATTCATAAATCCAATTTGCAACGGACTTTTATTTTTCTTTGCGTTTGAGCTTTGTCTACTGAAAAAACATTTTTGGCAACCCTGTAGAATCAAATCACCTCGCATGTATTAATGATGATCTAATTTTATACTAAAATCAAGATTCGACCAAGAATTGTTAAAGTCAACTATTAGCACCAAAGTTTGGACTTCATCGTTATTGGTAAATCATGAATAATAGTTGCCGATCCATCGATCAAAGTGATTTAATACCAAATATGAGATATTTGATCTTGGTCAATGTAAAGAACCGTTTAGATCGGATTACCAATATAAATAAAGATAACAGTGCATCGATTCTTTTGTCAAAAGGTTTCGAAATACTAAAACTATAAGTTATATTTCATTAAGAACGTTCAGTATATTGTCAAGAACGATTTATCGTTTTGAACATAATGGATGTTCTAGAAATAATGGCAGTTTTTCTGTTTCGCAATTATCTTCTATGTTTTACGCTAGTGACCTAATCTTTTTTTTTAAGAGTCACCTTTCAAGTCTCTAAAAATCCATGTGTTGTTTTTCTGCAGATTACTTTACAGTAATTTTTCGGATAATGAAAAGTCAAAACCTTGAAAATCTTGTACATTAATCCAATTAAGAAAATGGCAAATCAACATCTGAAATATTTGAATGGTTCAGTCGGCTATCATATAATTCGCCGATGGTATAAAATGAGCAGGAAACACGGCTCTATCAATTTATTACGTTCGCGTGACCATCCACAGATTGTCCAAGTAAAAAACTATGATTCGAAAAGTGAAAGCATGTTCAATCAAAAAAGACTCTAATTGAAGAATTAAAACGTGATGTGAAACGAATAAAATAGGACATTGTGTTGAAAAGTTGTGAAAGTTGAATCAATCCTCTGTATCGATTGTCTCAAAGTCATGAAGATTGTTTAAATTAATAAAAATAAACTGTTTTGTAGCGAATTGAAAGACGATTCTTTCAAAAAAACCTAGGTCGCTATCGCACAAGATGAGAGAGATAATTGTGAAACAAAAACTTCGTTATTATATAGGACAATTTATATTTATTTTTTATACATAACCAATACAATAGCAAAAAACGACACAAAGTACAAGCTATATGAATATTATTTTTTGATATTTCTGTTGTTTCGATTTAACGCGGTATTCTATTTGATTGCATTGTTGACGTTGATTGTATTATTCGACGATGAAATATTTTTTTTTATGAATAAATTGTTTAAATTCATTTCGAAACAAAGATGACGATAAAATATTGATGAAAAATTTTAATGAAAATCCAATATAAATGAAAAAATACGACATATTATTCAATAACGCTTCTACTTCTAGATGAAAAAGTGATTTTCGAACATCTATTGTAAGTGTTTGATAAAGAAGAAAACATGGTTTGAGTATATTGAAGATAATGTAAAGAACAATTTGATTTAATAATATTTTAACAAATTGAGAATCTTTTCTCAACACTTTATTTATTTGATTTGATTGATTAGTAGTAATACTTGTTACAATTGGTTTGATATTTTATTTTATATGTCGAACATTCTTAAATGTGACGAGTCCAAAAACAATCATGAAAAGCAATGGAAGAATACCATTATCAATTAACATATAAATACTAAAAAACGTGCCATAAGTACCTTTTTTTGAGGTAAATAATTATTTGGATAATTTTTATAGAAAACAACAATATGGATATATATCAAACACCAGAAGAAAATATTAACGATAATAAATCGCATAGCAATCTTAGGTGAACTCCATTGACGACGAAGAGCATTGCGAGAACTAGCAAAATATCGATCAACGGACGCTAAAATTTTGTAATACCATCCAGTAGCTAACAATATATAAAAGAAATAATTACGAAATTTGCAATACCAAACTTCTATGTAAACTGTCTTGATATTAAAACCAAATAGAAAAAGACGTGTCAACAGAGAAAAATTGTAAATTAACAATTGCGAAACATTCCACGCAATAAAATGCATTGCACAAGGACTTTTACGTAAAGCTTCTTGACACAAAATCATACAATTTAAAATTGATTCAATATGGGTGTGAGTGGGTGTAGATAAATAGAAGAACCATACTCACACGCATACCCACACACGTACTCTGAAAAATCCACTATCGTTCTATATTTATTTTAAAATTGCACAAACCATTATGTTTTTCTTTTGTTTAGTTTACTACTTTCTATACATACATATTCTCGTTTTTAAGTCTTATCCTCCTGCTGCTGCATTATGATTCTACGAGAAATAGTCACGCTTGTGCGATGATTAAATAAGGAATCAATAGAATTCGATTCTTTTTATTTGTAAAGTTCTGCTATAGTGATCTTGGTACATGTTAGATATATTCTTCGTTATATCTAACTTACAGTATTGTGCTTCTCTTTATGCTAGTCTAGATATTGGGTATGGGTCAGCTTGAGCATGTGTTGTTGTGAGGCATGGATGGATTTGAATGTTGGTGTAGGTATAATTGGAACCAAATAGAGTGCTCATGCCCATCCACACTGTTAAAACTGTTTGATATGTCTCGAAAACTATGTTTAAACGATCACAGACATTCATACTCTTATCCATTGAAATGCGTAAAATTTCTGCAACAAATAAACGTTTATAAGTAGTTTGAACGTATTTATGAGGACACATTACTCTATTAAGCATTCTTGTTTCAGTTTAGGCTAAGAATTGTATTAGATGATTTGATGAAAACTCTTTTATCTCTGTATTGAAACTAACTCAAAATCACGACGATCTACTTCTTTTTATAGTGCAAACGTAAACATACAGTGTGAGCTGTATCGATGACAACTAGGTTATTGAATAATATGTTAATTAGATTCTATTTCAATATTGATTAGAATATTTTACGATACCATCAAATTAAATAATCATAAAACCAATGTATTCTAATATATAATTCAGCAAAAAATTCCTTCATCTAATACATTGGACTTATTATTTAAGTTGACGATTTCGTTTTTTCTTTGATGTTTCTCGTTCGTTATTTGTGTTGATAATATATCTGAACACTGTATAGTCAAACGATGAAAACTACTTTGATACTTCACATTCTGATCTTCGTTTAGATAAAATAGTAATATAAATCTACATTGACCAAAAGTTTTAGATTGATGTTTGTTATATCGTATTCCATTGAATTTATTTTTTCCACAGAAAATTCAATTATTTCTGAAAAAAAAAACTCATAGAGGAACAAACATTTTAAGGGTCTATCGTTATAAGTCATGATTGCTTTGTTGTTCACGGAATGAAAGATAAGATAAAAGTCAGTGTTCTATTCCAAGACTTTGAAGAAATATTCAAATGAACAAAATGATCTTCACCTTCAACAATCACTCTGGTACAGTTATCACCAGCATTTCTGGCTTGTTCAGCAAAAGTTATTGTTTGACTAATAGGTACAGTGATATCTACTGCTCCTGTTATAGCTTGTATTGGCACTTCTAATGGCAGGTATTGACTTGGATATTGTGCTCTAAAGGTATAAGATTAATGTTGGATTCATAAAAATGATTTTCTTTCTCTGTGATACTATAGAAAACTCCATAGACGGAGTCACAACTGTTACAATAAGCTTCATTATCTTTGAAATATTTATGGGAAATATTCGTATAAACAATCATTCTTTTCCAGAACATGTCAAACTGGTAAACATGTCATTTCTATCAGGGAGAAGTAAAAAATGAGTTGTCCACTCTTTCTCTATTGGACGATTTCATGTAGTCAGTTCTTTTTTTAAAATTCTGTTAAAATTGGAACCGGTTTTTGCAAGAATTTTCATTACTAAGAAATTACAGAGGTCTACACTAACTTGACTGAAAGATTGCTCGAAGCCGCCAACGATGATAACACATATCGTTCTGGATACATTTGATACGTTCCACCAAGAAATGAGATTGCTGCACCAGAACCTGTTTCGTTAGCCTGATCGCAAGCATCCCACATATTATTCAGGCCCGCTTGACTGACAAAAGCT